CGACGCAGGAATGGTGCGTGAGAGCAAGTCTCCCCATTCGACACCCACGTTTTGTGTCATGAAGCCGAACGGCAAGTGGCGTATCGTTCACGCTTACAATAAGCTCAACGCTGTCACCATTCCGGCACAGACATCAATTCCTAGGAAGGATGTTCTCCAGAACAATATGGTTGGCTGTACAATGTACAGTGCACTCGACTTGGTCGATGGGTATTACCAATATCTCATGAGAGCGAGTGATATTCCGCTGACAGCGATGAGTACTCCGAGCGAGATGCTCTAGGAGTGTCTGATGATGCAAGGGCTGTCAATGCACCAGCAACATTTGATCATTTCGTGACGTAGTGTTTAGGCCCTACCGGGCGTATGCACAAACATACTTCGACGACATCTTTGTCCACAGTCGTGCGGAGCACGGGAGGGCCGATGAGAAATCCACGTTGTCGATTTGAGAGCGGTGCTCGAGTGCATGCGCACGAAAAAGCTGTATGCTCATGCCGATAAGTGCATATTCGGCGCCGAAGAAATGTCCCTTTTTAGAGTGTTTCATTGGGAAGCATGGCCTTCGAGCGGACCCCGCTAAGGTCAATGCCACTGTGGACTGGCCGGTTCCAGAGAACCAAAAGGAATTGCGCAAGTGGCTTGGCCTCGCCAACTACTTGCACAAGTATAGCACGAATTACACAGAAATGGCACGGCCATTGTCGGATCTCCTTAGGAAGGATACGGAATGGTGTTGGGACACCGAGCATCGGGAGGCTTTTGACGGAGTCAAAGACAACCTCCTTCATGCACCACTACTGGCGATGCCAGATCTTGATCGTCCTGTCAGCGTCGTCTGTGACGCTTCAGACTTTGTTATCGGCTGTGCACTGCTGTAAGCAGACGCCGAGGGGCGAGATCGGGTGGCGTTCGAATCTCACCAGCTCAAGGCTGCGGAGAAGAACTACCCAGTCCACGACAAAGAATTGCTTGCGATGAAGTATGCACTTTTCAAGTTATGGGTGCAACTGCTCGGCTCCAAGCCGTTTGTGTTTAACATAGATCATGCGTCCTTACGCACTGCGACTCAGTCGCCTCATCTCTCGCAGAGGATGGCCAGGTGGCTCTCCTTTTTCGCAAAATATAAACTCGTGGTGAGGTATAAGCCAGGAAGGCAGAATGCTTTGGCTGATGCGTTGTCACGCAGACCAGAGCTGACACATGTCACGACAGTAATGTTGTCAGTGACGGATTTGATCCGCGCCGCATACGCGGGTGATGGTATGTGTGTAGCGCTGCTACAGGCTCTTGGAGACAAGTAGTTTGGAAATTCGGACAAGAAATTGTTGGCGCGATTGCGCGCACGGTTACACCGATACCCGTCGAATAACTAGTTGCTATATTATAGCACCGATTCGACGGACAAGCCACGAGTTGTGGATCCTCACGATGAGGATCAAAAATACCGTATTCTCTATGAGACCCACGACACCCCACTCGGTGGTCGTCTCGGTCGTGGGAAGACGTACTGCTCTGTGAGTTACCACTACTGCTGGTCCAGCTGTACAAATGGACGAGCACATATATGCGCACGTGTGAGACGTGTCAAAGAGTGAATACCTCTCCGAATACGGCGGCGCCGCTGGCCAGTTTACCAGTATTTTCCGGGTATTGGCAGTCCATGAGTATGGACTTTGTGTTTGGCCTGCCGAAGGACTCGGCGGGCAACATGGGTGTGGTGG